ATTAGTTTTTTGTTGGATTCCTTGAGTGAATCTCGGCAAGAAAATAAAGAGTTAAAAAATGGTTGCTCGGGTTACAGTTGGGCGGTTGGTTGTGGGGTAGAATGGAACATAAACCTGACTGCACCACTGTACCGCACGCTGTTAAATACGTTATTTTCCCTCTTTCAGGTATTGCAAAATAAAATAAACTATAGAAAGAGGAAAAGGAGACTTCTAAGTAGATCGTGAATAGCAGCAGAAAATCATGAATTGGAAAATATTTAAAATCAAGAAAGAGTGGCAAATGAGCAAAATACAAGTCTGAATATAAGCAATAAGGAAAACAAATTGGAAAACATTTTCTGGCATTTACTTATTGAAATCAGGGCACGTCCCACGGTTCCCCATCGTCCGCTCCACTGTGCCAAGGGGGAGGGGTACAGAGGGACACTTTGCCTGCCTTTTAAATTTTACCATTCAACAGAACAGTCACTTGAAATCAAAAGAGCTTGGACGTTTTTGTGGCCAATAATGTCCTCTAATGGAAGTACAAATTGAATACCCAAATTTTGTCGCGCTAAATACATTTTTTTCACCATTTCGAAAAATTGTCCCACTGTACCCCAGCCTCCCCTACCCCAAAAACTACTCTTCCATGAAAAGTCCGGTTACTCTCTTTGTCCATTTTGACGTATCAAAATCCAGTGTTCACTGTCGACCCTCAACGAAGTGTTTAGCTGTCTGCTACAAACCCCATTAAAAATTTCCCAATAGTGCATTACTCTATATCAGAGGTGCTTAACAAAGCAGCTTAAGTTTTTTTATTATAAAATTAAATATTTACAATGCTGGCACGGTGACAATTCTTTCCCCAGAAAGTTTCTCGAATTTTAGGAAGAGCCGCGGGCCGGATGATCTGCCACCGCGGACAGGATCCGGCCCCTGGTTGGGCATTCCTGCTCAAGATGTCACATTGGACACTATGGACAGGCCCGTATTCACGTTGCCCACAGTAGCAATGAGTGTCTGAGTGCGTCAGGAATGAAAAGACTGGAGAAAGCAGGGGGGAGAAGGATTAGGGGGAAAAGAGTAAATCGAGTGCAATGGCCTCTGACCTCTGACCTCATTTATAATGAGATCAGAGGCGATCTTGTGGAACGATAACGGAAATATAAAGAATTTCTTACTAATAACGTTTGGAAGCGTCGAGACGGTACTTTATGCAGATAAGATTAACGAGAGATCTCATCCAGGCATTCATACGTTTTCAAGGGGAACGGTAACGCGTAGAGTGGGGAATTTTCCCATTAAACCCAAACCATCATACCACCAGGTCGACGAAATGAAACACAATCCACACGTGAAGACGCTTAGATGACATTCCGCTTTGGGATATGCCCAGTAGAAAGGAGTTGGATCTCGCTCGAACAGGAACTAGACAACGGCATTCCTACACGTGTTCACATCGACATTCGTCTTACACGAAGATTGACCTGTCGAAACATCCATTCTCTTTTCTATGTAGGATTCGGATCCCGTGCGGCAAATTAGAACCGCAAGTATTGCAATGCAAACGACTGAGACTCTCGCACAAAAATCATTCATCTTGAAATGAATTAGCTTATGTGATGCGTAGAATCGATTGGAATGTTTAGGTGGAGATTTGGATTTGGAACGGTGAGAACGACTTCGAGGCCCGGACGAGGGATACGTGCAGGAATAGAACCACCCGAATCTTAAAACTTTCCAACTTTCACCATCGGGATCGTAGCCGTGACTGATGACACCGATGACACACCGTTCCAGGTGTCCACATACTACGCAGCGGACGAAAAATGGCAGCTGATACGAGATGGGTTTCTTAGAATCAAACTTAGTCTGAATATCTTCGCCTTTTTCTTGCCGGAAGAAAGATCCTGAAACGGCCCCCCCCCCCCCTACCTCCCCAAGAAAAGAGAACATTTTATAATATTAACACGTTGACGACCAGCCTATTTTTGCTTGTCCGCCGCGTGGGACCAAGCGCATTTTTTTTGGCAAAAAATGCGTCCTGCCATCAGGACGCATGGTCCCAGAAAACATTTTTTTTGCCGAGTTTTTTTTAAATGTTGAATTTTTTGGAATTTTTATCAGTAATTACGAAATCATAATCTTCTGGAACGTTCTCAACAGTTCCAGAGGGTATTCATTGAAAAAAAATCTGCATCCTGGCATCAGGACGCATTGTCGCCAACATGTTAAATAATTTCAAACCGTTTTCTTGTTTTGCTAGTGCTTTTTGTTTCATCTGTTTGATTCCTCCCTTTGGATCCCATATGCACGAGGGGCAGTGGTGAAGGTGTCAAGTGTCAAGCCAACTTTTCCTCAAGGAACATGATATGTTTTATTTGTTGCATATCGAACCGATCATCGGATGTCAGATCAAATTGAATCGGTCCTTTGCTTCTCATCGAAGTGACTGGTATTGGGATTTTTCTCCGAGTATGGATCATTTCAAGTACCGATGGACAAATGCTTCTAATATAAACAGGGTATGCCGGAACTAAGGGACCAACGACTTTCAACTTAAATATCTCCGCGCAGAACAGTCATTTTCGCGCGACTTACACTTTGCATATATGAGCATGTTTCCAACTGATTCATATAATTTCATTCAATTTTGTTGTGCCAGAGCAATATCATCCGCAATTATCGGAAGGAAGTTAGGCATGGAGAATGGACAAGATCACCTGGTGATGAATATTTTCTGAAAAAACTTTATTTTTAATGTGTGAGAATCGCCAAACCAAGGAGTTTGACCGCATCAGTAGGGGTGAGCTTCGAAAATAGATGCTTTAAATGTATTAGTAATTTTCTTTTATCAGCGCCAAAGGCGCATCCATAGCGAGTTTGAATATACTGTAACTGAAATAGTATACTGAAATAACAGTATTTCTAACCGTGTACGCGAAATAACATGCGCGATTTGTTACCTCTGCTAAGTACGGTATGATGATCTTGGAACTCTCGATACATCGCCATGATTCATGCACACACCTCATACCTGGCCAGTTCATCACTCTTGACACCTCTGATGGAGCTCAATCTGCGAGCTGTGAAATTGGCTCATCTGGCACTGAAAGTGCGCAAAAGGTCATCAGTGCACTCGCGTGTGCTACCACTACCTGCCATTGCTGCTTTTCGGCCACGATTTCGAGAAATGTACGAATTACGAATGATGAAACGCCACAGCATCTTCCGTAATATGCACGAAGTTTAGAAGGTAGAGAATAGACGTAAAGCCCCATGAACGGTGGGTGCTTGGAACCATTTCATTCCTAAAAATGTCTCTGCATTGGTCCTGATGCAAGGTGAAGTTGAGAGCATTTTGCATTCACTGCATTTTCGTGATACATTGTGGATGCTCCTCGAGACCAGTTCAGTATGACGCGATGAGATAGAGGAAGGAGAGCCTCCCACCTTCCACGCCGACTAACCTCAGCAGTTCGCTTTCCCTCTCCGTCCCACCCCCCCCCTTGCACAAGATTTTCTAATCTGTTTGGCATGCACCCTCAAACTTCCCTTCGCGCACCCCCACTAACACTCAGCTCTTACTTTCGCACGCGGACACCTGATAAGGCCCTTCCAGCCAGCTGGATCCGCAAACGCCTTATGATCTTCGGGGCATCTGTTCCCCCCCCCCCCCCCCCCCCCCCCCCCCCCCCCCCCCCCTCGTCCTTGGATCATCCCGTAGGCGTTGGCTTTCAGACAAGAGCAGCCGTCCGACTGACTGGTGGGTACCGAGCCTGCCTCGCGCTTCGACTACTGAGAGTCTGTCGCGGGAACCGGCGGAGGACGTGAGTCTGATTGAGTAGCGGATACGCCATCGAGTGTGAGCCGCCGGATGAACCTCGAGAGTCTGCCTTGGATAGCTGATAGCCCCCAAAAGCCCCTGACTCTCGCCCTAGCGACCGTTTGCGAGAATCGCCCGCCCCAAGAGAGGGAGACTTCGCCCTTCGAATCTCTTCGGCCTACGTGAGGCAGCTTTCCTTACTGTCCTCGAAGATGGATTGTTGCCCGACCGTGTACAATGAAGCTTACGCTTTTGTTCGCCTTTTTCTTACGAACATCACAGATTGAAGCCCGAGGTGACTTGGAGTGATTAATACCCAGGTCACCGAGAATAGAGTAGGGGAGGGAAATAAAACCTTCTGTCATCATCGGAGATTTCCTTCTGATCGCACCGCCGCTGCGGTACAAAACGAACATGCACCCTCATGATTGTTGTCAGTTTTAACCCGACACGTCGGTCACAGCACGTAGCGTGTTCGTAATAAAGATGCATCTAGTGGGAGTGCTGATCCTGGGATAGGTCAATGCCCAGAATATTCTGATGACCTAAATATATCAACATTGGACATGGAGACAGAATCATCTAAGTTAATATTGCATGATTCTGGACCCCCAGAAGAGAGGTAGTGATGTGTTAGAGACTGAAGTTGTCAGAAGCGTTACTGAGTAATGTATGTCAGGAAGTGAAGGTAGACATAGAGCTTCAAAGTCATTGATTGACTTTATTGCTGATAGAATTGTTGAGTAAAAGGCATAGAAGCTGAATGGTGTTACAAAGACTCACCCTGACAAGAGGAAGGCATTCTATGAAAATTCCTCTGTTTATATTCCCCCAAAGTACCAGGAGCTCAGCAATGGGAAGCATGGAGAGACCTCCTTGGACACTCTAAGAGTACCAAAGTGACCTACTGCTTCCTTCTCCCGTGGTTCCGGTACGGGAGGAGGAGTAGATGTTCAAAGGAGCTCTCTTCCTTTTAGGATAGAGAAGATATGGTACTTATAGGGCTGGTTTTTTTTATTTATAAAGTTAGGAGCTAAAGGTATGGTGGGCCTGACCTAAATGACTATTCATATTATGGAAGTTCTCCAAATACTGAAAGGCAAGATTTATTAACTCTGGTAAAATAAACAAATTTCTTCAGAGGGATTGTGAAGCATTGAGACACCCAGGAATTCCCCATTGAGGCATCCTACCGTTTAGGGCTGACGTAGTTGCAGTAGTTACACATGTGAGCCTGAGTGACAGTCTGACTCTTCTTTGGGATGAGTTTGAAGACCTTGCTTTTGTCATCTTCAACCTCAGAGGTGGCACCATCCCCTTCCTCAGGCATCTCTTCCCCCTCATTGAAGTCATACACTGTCATGTCCTGATTACCCTCCATTCCTTCACTTTCACCTTCTTCAGGCTACAAAAGAAAGACACTCAGTTTTGAAGTGCAAACAGTGAGACCAAGACCAAGAGTAGCCAAAGAAGGATGAGGTACCTGCTGAACTATGAGGACATAGCTAAGTTCATTTGGGTTCCCTTCACTTGCAACAAGGGTCACAGTCTGGTAGTTGTCATTCCCAGTTCCAAGAAGTACTTGGTTGTCCTGATTTCCTGATCCTTCACTGGTCTCTGCTTGAACATCCAGGTTCTGAAAGTAGTCATGAAGAACAAAGGGATCATCTAACTCATATCATTTATGGCCATTATGGCTCAAAATACCATTACTCAAAAAGTAACAAGTGAGCAACCTGAGGAGTGTAAATTACCTCAGAGGAAGTGGATGGCTGTACTGTGACAAAGGAAGTGGAAGGAAGAGGATCACCAATGACAATCTCAGCTGTCTTCCCTTCCTCATCATCAGAGCCTTGCCCCTCATCTGTTCAGACCCATCAACAGCATCATTCAATCATGAAAAGAAGATACATCATCATGTGGTTCACCCACAAGTGGCAGGACAACATGAAATGCCACACCAGCCACATGAAGACATAAACACTGACCCGATGGCAGGGCGATATATTGTCCATTCTGATCCACTATATATGTAGTGGTCTCTTGTCCA